AATTGCTGTTAAGAAAGCTTTGATCTTTGCAAAGTGTTCGCGTGTAAAGCTGCGGGATCTCGTTTCCCTTAAAAACCCTTAAAAAATTCAATTGCGTTGGTTTCGACCTCCACAAGTAATCTAAACAATCTTCTTCCATCTCGTTAGCATGTTTCTGGTTTATCATCTTCTTCTTTTCCAAAATCAAAACGAACATCAAGCTAACCCAAATCAATCTAAACCAATTTCAACAGTACAACATAAATCTACACCTAAAGCACCAATTTCAACAATCAATTCCAACATTCCAACATAAAGCAACAATCAATTCCATGGAGAAAGACAAAAGAAAGCATTAGTGGTCGTGAAAAATAAGATTTTGCTCAGTTTTGGCAACTATAAGGACCGAAAGCACCACTTTCTCAAGCGCATTAATGATGTATTGCTTTTTAAGATTTAAAAAAAAAACAATATACAGAGACACAGAGAGCTTAAGATTGAACAATGAGTTAATGACTTTTCCAATTGAAATACAATTAATCCAATTGAAATACAATTAAACAAAAGAAAGTGGTGAAGAATTGAGAGAACTTACCTGATTACAATAGAGACTACAAGACTGATAAACGTTTCGGGTGTTAGGGAGAAGGCAGAGAAGATTTGAGAGAACTTTAGAGAGAGAGATCGTTTTTTGGAGACGGAGAAAAAGAGATCTGCGTATAACATATAAAAGACTATTCCGATGGAAGTAAACCCTCGGCATTCCGTCGAAATCAAAATTTTCCGCGGTAAAAAAATCTCGCCATAACGAAAAATGTGCCGCCTAAATAAAAACCCTCGAACATTCCTACGGAATTCCGACGGGTAAGTTAAAAATTACTAAAATAATAAGCTACAACGTTCTATGAATAATACAAACCTTACAAAAGTGCACTGAACTTTATTCTTAAAATTTAAAATTAAAAAAAAGTTAATTTTATGAACTTAAAATAATCAGTCAGTTCATTTTAAAAAATATTGTTGATATGTAATATGAATTATAATTTTCATAATCTACAATAGATTTTATGTACCAAAATTCTTTGTTAACTTAAAATTATTTTTGATCGTTATTATTGTTTTTTTTCATTTTTGTTTTCATATACAATTATAAATCAAAAATTTAATCGCGTAGATTAGAGTGGTTGAATAAAGATGAAACCTTGTTATGGCGTTCCGACGGAATGAGCTTTCATCTTTTCCTTCCAAGACACTATAGTTAGTGAATGTCTTTTTAAGATGTTAGACACTATAGTGAGCTTCCAAGACACTATAGTTCCGACGGATTAACCACACATTTCCATTGCTAAAAAAAAAAATTAACATTCCATCCTTGTTTGATCCGGATAAGTTGATGTCATCATAACAAATTTATAACATACCATGAAACTTTAACTTACAAGTTGTATATATTAAGAAGTACATTTATTTATTGATACGTAATTACGAATAAGTGGGCTAGAGATTATTACATCGTTCATTTTATCCATGAAACATATATATACATGTATGCCATGGGAAAAAAAAAAACAATTTCAAACCATATACCGTCGGAAATCCGTGAAAATTTAGTCGAAAAAAATTCAAATATTATCAATTAAGTTTTAACCAATGATTTTCGAATGATTGATAACAAGCATGTCGGAGTTCCGACGGATGTATTACGGAGACGAGTTTTTTTATGGATTTTAAATAAAGATAATTTAGTAACTTATAAAGTTTCATTTTTTTTCTTCGTTTCAAAAAATTAGCCTTTTAAAATATGATTTTATGAATTTTAAATAATAATTTAAATTAATAGATAATTTAAGATATAATGGTGATAAATAATAAAATTGATAATAAAATGTTTTAGTGATTACAAATAGATATTAAAAATGTTTTAAAGTAATAGATTTTTTAAGTTACTCTGAATCAGATGAATAATCAGAGGAACCCGCAAAATCTAACTCCTCCTCAAATTCGTTAGGCTCGTCTTCAGAATCATCGAATACGACACTATTTCCGAAACTTGTGAAATCCACCACAATATCAACTTCAAGGGAAGAGGGTACCGAACCTAATACGTCGAGTTCATTTTGCTGCATAGGATCATGATCGGAAACACCATCAATCCTCCCTCTCGGATATATCAAAGTGACAGTAAACCAAGAAAAAGTCGAAGTCGTCACATGCGGATACCGAATGTAACACACCTGATCTGGTTGGGAAGCGAGCACAAATGGATCATACTTTTGGAGTCGTCTCTCGAAGTGTACTAATGTAACACCAAACTGGCTGTGGCGAACACCGTAACCCTCAATTGGGTTATACCAATCGCAGTAAAATACAACGTACTTCATACCGAGCATTCCTGGATATTGAATCTCCAAAATCTCTCGGAGTACACCGTAGTAAACAAGGTCATCTGACGCTGAAGATATGCCGTAGTTACAAGTGGTTCTGGTAGTTCCTTCTTGATATATCTTGAAACCATATCCACGAGTAAAATACATTTTGTACGGTGTTGCAACAGAGAGAGGACCATGAACCAACTCTTGCAGCCATGTTGGAAATGCTTGACATTCTTTAGTTAATGTTGTGACCTGAAACGAATAAACTAGAACTAAGTAATTAAGATGTTTATAATGGGGGAAAATATGTAAAGGTACCACAAACTTACATAATAGTGCATCCAATCAACAAATTCTGGCTTTTTCTGCATGGTAATTTCTTCTTCGGTAAAATGTGGGTAATGAAATCGTACTTGAGCTTCATAAATCCTGTAAATAACGATTGTAAGACATGATCAAAATATATATATATAATTAGATGTTCGAAAATCTAAACAAGAATTCATTTTAGTAATATTTACCTCTCGTACTCGCTTATCTCATCCAAATTGGTAAGAACATAATATTGTAAATGATATCGTTCTTGCGTTGTAAGCATTCGCCGTTTTTTTCC